GGGAGGGAGCAGTCCTGGTTCTGGGCTCAGCAGCAGTTAATGCATCTCCAGCCCGGGCAGGAAGCAGGGAGGGGGATCTGCCTGGTGCACCAGATCCCAGCAGCCATCACTAATTACACAGCAGCATTCATTAATTATATTATTAATTAATAAATCACCTGGCCATGTGCAGGACACACACACACCCCCAGGGAGGGCCCCCTGTACTTACATCACTCATCAGACCCTTAAAGACCACCAGCTCTGCTTTYAGCCTCTCAATCTTCTCATTCAGCTCCTCCTGCAGAGCTTCAGCCTCCTGAGCCTCCTGCGAGGGAAAACACCAGAAAGGTGAGAGGGGAGAGCCCAGCAAAGCTCCTCACTCAGCCTCAGCAGGCTGGGAGGGCACCAGGGAAAAGGGGGGTGAGAAWGAAATTTAATTCTTGAGTGAAATTTGATTGTTATCCTCCATTGTGACTTCCAGCCCTTCCTCCCACTTTGTCACAAACTTTGTCACAAAATTCATCATTTCCTGCTCTGGCTTCCCATTAGCACTGTCTTCCACAGCCAGCAGTCAGATTTTTAATTAAAGGACAAATGAAGTTATAATCTGCACGATGAAAGGTGCTGAACCTCACCTCTCGCAGCGTTTCCACCATGGATTCCAGGCTCATCCTTCTCGTCAGCTCCTCCTCCCACCTGAAAGACAAGATGTACAAAGTGGTCATTACAGAGAAAAGTATTTTTTCCCCCTCCAAACCACGAGAGTGCTGAGAGCTGGGGGAGGATGGCAGTTCCTGGGAATGCAGAGCAGATGGTCTCCCTCAAACCAGGAACACTGGGTCAGTCTGTGAGGGAAGGAAAGCTGGAAAACGCTTTTTCCTTTGGATCAGCATTCCTGCTACTCTCACACACCACAGAATCCTGGAATCACAGAGCTTTGGGCTGGCAGGGAACCTCAAAGCTCATCCCATTCATTCCACAGGCAGGGACACATCCCACTGCCCCACAGCAGGGCCTTGGAGTGAGATGATTTTCTGGTCCCTCCCAGCCCAAACCATTCTGAKATTCTACAATTAAGTATCAAAAAAAATCCTGGTTTAAGCCCCGAAACCCAGAATTTGACAATAGTAACTGGAAAGATTGTGGAAAAATGAGGATACACATCCATATCCATGGATTTAGGTTGAGTTTGGGGGCAGAGGGAAAGCCAAGTGTGTGTCCCTCTTTGAACAAGCACCAGTGCCAGCACAGACCCGCCTGGTCTGTTGGGACAATGGGAATTACACTCCTGGAAAAGAAACTTTGGATACCACAGAGCAAAATGAATCCTGCAAACAGCCCCCCCAAGCACCACCACAACCAGTTCTGTTGCTCCTTCAACACTTCCAGTTCAGCTGGAACTGGCAGGCCAGAAATCCATGGAATAAAAGACCATAAAGTGGTTAAATCTTCCAGAAAGCTTGGATGCATCCAGTTTTCTTAAAAAGCAATGGTTAAATCTACCAAAAAGCATGGATTCACCCTGTTTTCCAAAAATGCAGTGGTTAAATCTGCCAAAATACACGGATTCATTGAGTTTTTTTGAAAATGCAGTGGTTAAATCTGCCAAAAAGCTTGGATTCATCCAGTTCTCTAAAAATGCAGTGGTTAAAACCTCCAGAAAGCTTGGATTCATCGAATTTTCAGAAAATGCAGTAGTTAAATCCACACTTAAGAAGCATGGATTCATCCAGTTTTATGAAAATGTAGTGGTTAAATCCACCAAAAAGCATGGATTCATCCAGTTTTCTAAAAATGCAGTGGTTAAATCCAACTGAAAGCGTGGATTCCCAGTGCCACGGTGACATTCCTGCTCCATCCATGCTTCCCTTCTCCCGTGAGATGGGAATACCCAGCACAGCTGCATGGATTTGTGCAGGATGACTTGTGCATCTTTTTCCCAGTGTGGCTTCACTGCCAAGCAGGGGAAAACACTGAGGCTGGAATTTGTGTTTGTCACCAAACGCTCCTGCTCGGATTTCCACGCCCCGGGTGGGTTTTGCACTAATTACATTGCCGGGAAAATAACGACTTTGCCTTCACGTTCCAATAACAGAGGCGAGAAGGTGAAATTAATTAAAGCAGGCAATTATCGTGGTGATCTGTGAGCAGCTTCTCCTGTTACAGGACAATCATCCCTCCTGCTCCTGCTGCCAGCGGTGGGCGGGAGCGCAGCAGACGCTGCAGAAATTGAGACGCTGCTTCCCGAGATTTCAGCCTCTGGAATAAGGGATCCTGGATATTGAGGCACTGCTTCCCGAGGTTTCAGCCTCTGGAATGAGGAATCCTGCAAATTGAGATGCTGCTTCCCGAGGTTTCAGCCTCTGGAATGAGTGATGCTGGATATTGAGATGCTGCTTCCCGAGGTTTCAGCCCCTGGAATGAGAGATCCTGGATATTAAGGCACTGCTTCCCAAGGTTTCAGCCTCTGGAATGAGGAATCCTGCAAATTGAGATGCTGCTTCCCGAGATTTCGGCCTCTGGAATGAGGGATCCTGCAAATTGAGACACTGCTTCCCGTGATTTCAGCCCCTGGAATGAGAGATCCTGGATATTGAGACGCTGCTTCCCAAGGTTTCAGCCCCTGGAATGAGAGATCCTGGATACTGAGACACTGCTTCCTGAGGTTTCAGGCCCTGGAATGAGGAATCCTGGATATTGAGGCACTGCTTCCCAAGGTTTCAGCCCCTGGAATGAGGGATCCTGGCTGCATCCAGGCCCTCCTGCTGAATTCTCGCATCCTCCCCATGCCCTGGGCGTCCTGCAGAGGAAGGGATGCATTTTTGGAAAACGTCATCTGCGTCTTTTCCCTGACTCTGCCAAAAGGCAGGAAAATGGATTAGCGTTCCTCCCCAGCGGGTCAGCCAGGATCACACAGACTCAGGCTCAGAGCAGCCGTCCTCATCCTGCAGAAATTCCACRAGTTCCATTCCTTTGCCCGTGCCTTTTGCAGAGCACTGATTTACAGCCCTAATTCCCCCCAGCAACTCCAAACTTCAGGAGACGGGGAGAAGCTGCCACCTTCCACACACAATGAAACCATCAGGTGATTTTTAACCAAAAAGGTCCTGCCTGGCTGAAGGGGATTTGCACATGTCTGGCAAGGAGGGTCCTGCTAACCATGAATATCAAATTCTTAACCCCAGAGCGCTTTTCTCCCACCCACCACCAAGCTGATTAACCTCATTTAACAGYTCAAAACGCCAATCTTGCTTTGCCCCCACACTTAAAGCTCGGCAGAACACTGGCAGTGAGGGGAGGAAGGCAGGGGATGACAATGGAGCAGAGGATTAATCCTCCATTTCAACTTCCAGGGGAGTGAGACAATACAAGATTGCTCAGGGCTGTGATCATCCTGTGTCTGCTGCAACACACCCGACTTTAAAGGGACCTTGGCAGCCGTGCTGCTGCACATTCCCAAAATCCAGGAGTCACTGAGGATGCTAATTATGGCTCTGCTGCCTTTATTATTCAGCACACTCAATTATTTCCCCCAGTCATTCCTATTAATCAATATTTTTCTCCTCAGTTTCCATCTAAAGCCAGCAGAGTCTTCCACAAGCCTMTGTCCCAGCAGGCTGCAGATGCTGCTCCTGGGCAGACATGTCAGAAAATATACCAGTTTAAAAATTTTTATAAAACTTTATCAAAGATTTTCTTYGTCTTTGCCSCAGGGAAGAGCRCTGAAGTTTCTTTGAAGGGCATCGTTCCACCAGGTGAGGGCTGGGGAGCTTTACAGATYAACAGAGCGGGAGTGGCACAAAAGATAATCAGTGACCATCAGGGACCATCAACAGCCACCAGTGACCATTAACAGAACATCCAAACCCCAAAATGGAACCCCAAACCTCAAAACAGAACCCCAAACCTCCCCCCTGGTGAGGTYGGAGCCACCTGGTCTTAGAAAACAGAARTAAGAAGGAGGACCTAATTRACATCRGAGGTGAAGAAATCCAGACCCAGCAGGAACCCAAATCCTGAGAACTGCRCAGCATTGAACCAATGAACATTAAACAACCAATGAAGTTCTCCRGGCTTTGACTGTATAAAGTTTGGGGGAAATCTTGTAAAATCCATRTGTCAGGAATGATTYTCTCTGCACASCYGGGCTGTGWGTGGATGAAATGATTGCTGTGGCACATCCTGGCCAGMACAACATCCTGCCCAGCASATAAAGCAATGCCTYGACTCTCTAACATTAAAAATGTTGTTTGAGAGTTTTTGTTTTCCCCACAGTTTCCCTGACAGACAGAACCCACGGGGTGCAGCACAAAACATCTCCACAGAAGGGAACAACAGCTCCAGGCGCTCCCTTTATCCCGARGGAGAGGGAAGCAGCACCTGCAGTAACTCCACAGAGGGATAACCACGGCAGG